GTCCAATGTAATCAAAGATGAAGCCGTAGGGAAGCGTAAAGTACCCAAACACAATACCAACGGTTGAGACTGTGGTGATATCGTTCTGGGTAAAGCCGTAGTCATCCGTCATTTTGCCGGATATTAGGGAGAAGGAGTAGACGGCACCGGACGCGATGGCGCAAAACATGCCACAAACCACGAAAGCAAAGCGCTGGGGCTCGCTGATTGACTGTGGCACCTCCAGCCGGTCGTTGAAACCGAGCACCATTTCCACGCCTGCCCTTGCTTCTTCTTTCCTCCAATTGGTGTCTCCTTCGTTTGCCTTCCTTCGAGCTGAACCCTATTCCTTTCGGCTGCAAGCCGTATCACCTTATTGCGCGCTAGAAAAAAGAACCTGGAGAAAAAGCAACACCGCCATGCGAGATAATGGGCGGCAGGGGTGCCGGCCGTGCGGGGACCCGGTGAAAGCATTGCCTCCACGTCGCGCAGTCGCATGTGTTGAAATTAATATAAACATATGTGCAAGGTGCGGAGAATAATGATCAATGATTTGATGTCAGTATATGGTTGTACTCGCCGCCAGTTCTGGATACAGCTGAAGCCGCAAAAAACAAAAAAAAAAGCTACCAGAGAATTCATAGGGAACGTTCAGTGCCGGCTTCCTTCCCGTGATCCTGAGGAATAGTGAAGTGAGTAAGCGCCGCAGTTTTAGTCTCCTTTGTTTCTTGATCGGTGGCTGCCTCGGAAACGCTGTTGCTAAAAATATTGTGTAACGCCACATCGTGGCGCAGCGCCATTTCACTCTGCTCGAGCGTGTCCCTCGCAGCATCTGTGAGGCGATCGAAAGCGGCACGAATGCTTGCAGCATCCTCAAAGTACTTGTAAGATGACGTTGATTTCCGCCGTTCCAAGGCGAAGAGCTGCAGCGCCGTCAGGCACAAACACGCCCCACTACGCCGCATTGTTTTAGCCCTCGTCAGATTCCTTTTTCGCACCGAAGTTCACTAAACGGTCACCCGTTCATTTCAAAGGAAGAAGAAAAGGAATCAAAAAAAAAAGTAGAAAACAACGGAGAAGAGGGAAAGAAAGAGAGCGTAGGTGACGGATAAATCAATGGCTGCATCTTGCTTGCAACACGCGAGAAAAGATGGCCGAGCAGAGCCAACATCGTCAGCAATGTATCGTGCAGTTGGCGAGGAAAGTAAATTGCAGCAAAAGCCAATAGTAGTAATAACCAGCCTATCCATCCGGCGGAAAAGAGATGGATGGCGTATAGACCCGAAGAAGGTAAGAGGTAAGAAATAGACTCATTCAGCCATTCCATGGTCATTCTATGTGTTCGCAATGAACACACGTCCACAGACGCGCAAAAAAAAAATAATAATAATAATAGTGGAAAGGGCAGAGAGTGGAGATCATGAGATAGTCAAGCGGTCGTCGTCCGTTAGGCCAGGCAGCATCTGAGATAGAATTAAATCCGAAAGCCGCGCCGGATCTTTGGTCATGGCGATATTTACAAGATGAAAAATCCCATCAGCGCAGAACGTGAGCGGCTTTACACCACTGCGGACACCAATGCCGTGCTTATGGGCACGCTTTGTGGTTAGCCAAATGAGGCTATTTATACACCCGTATGAAATGGCACTCGCCTTCATTTGTGTTGCAACGCTCGGGGAGTACAGTCTCCCGTAGAAGTTCACGGGCTGGTAGCGACGGCAGGTAAGGGGGTTAAACACATCTGGGCGGCGAGTACCGCGCACACTGTAGTACATTACGCAGGGATAGCCCTCAGTCACTGGCAGCGCCACGGCATTCGACTCCTTCAAGAATGAGGAATTGAAGGGACTATCAAAAATAAATTCTGCCTCATCTACAGTGGCCCAGTAGCGACTGTGCCCTTCTGCGTAGTGTCGTCCGAAGCGTGCATGCACCTCGTCCGCGAAGGATTGAGGAAAAGGCTCACCGTTTGTGTTGAGTGGGTGCCATGCATCAAAAACTGGCTCGCATTTCACCGGGCCAAGAGGCACCGGGGCGAAACGCAAGGAGACCTCCTCCCTCAGCTCCTGCTCTGTGCACACCAATTGTGATAAGTTGTAGAAGAAACGCCGGCCATTGGCTGCGTTGATGCCAACGGGACCTGCAGGCTTGTGCCCACGCTCGCGCAACCGCAGGCGCTCGACGAGTCCCTGCGGCACCCACACATTCGCCGCGTAGCCTCGCGCCATGGCGTGCGTCCAAAGAATAGCCTCATTCTCCGGCGAAAATCTGGCCCCTGTGATACAAACTGTGGAAGACATAACGACTCCGCTGCAGTGCCTTCGTTCAATAACACCGCGAGGGCGCGACCGTGGCCAAGAAAAAAAAACAGGGCAGAAAAGAAAGCATTACAATCAACAGCACGTAATATATATATATATATATGTGTGTGTGTGTGTGTGTATTTCCTAGTGCAGGCGATGGGAGAACGAATAGGGTGTTTTCTTTCAAAAGGGAAAAGGAAACCGAAGAAGTGGGAAAACAGAGACAAGAATGAAAAAGAAAAAAATGCCCTGTTTCATACGTCTTCTTTCATTTCTGTTTTGCATAAGATGGGATGCCAAAGCCCAGGATAACGCTGGTATATACACAAGCACACGGAACGGCATACAGAGTGTGCAGTTGGCAGTATACTAGAGATGGTGGGGTTTCGGGTAGTTAATAGCAATGCACAAGTTCATGCTTATTGCCACCAGTGCAAGCAGATGAATAAATACCATTACCACCAACATTAGCGGTGAGATCCGAACCGAAAAAATGGAAGGTAATTCATCATGCGCTTTAATCATTTGATGACATGTCGCTATAGCATCGCTGCTCTCATCATTGGGTCTATGCCTTAGTCGATGGTACAAGCATGCCACATCAAGGAGATAAAGGTGAGTGGTGTGTTCCTTGAGGGTTCCAACACAGATGTAGAGATACCTTTGTAGCATAAAACCCCAAAGCGTGCAGAGTACAAAGGCGTAAGTGTGCCCTAAGGAATAATTCGCCCCAGAGTGAGAGTAACCAACCACCAACACGTAGACAATATCACCAATCGTCACAAGAAAACCACAAAAAACAAGTGTAAGGTAGATGCTCATGGTGGAGCCTCGAGACGCATGGTTGGAGCACGTGGATGCGTAAAGCACGAGGGACCGCACTACGCACCATCCCACGACGCCAGTTAACACATCGTATGGATTCAACGGTTCATCAAAGTTAAATCGTTGCTTTAAAAATTCACTCGGCCGCATTAAGCTTCGGCCCTCCAAGTACGCCAGTCGGGTAATAACACGCATCTGCTCCAATATTTGCCGCTGCATATCCGTAATTTTCAACACGTAGTACGCGACAACAGTAGAAAACAACAAGTTTGAGGCAAAAAACAAAACTGCCGCTGCCACATCGTATTTTTCTGTGCCAAACATTGGATGCCCAAAGCCAACCCGTGTGCAGGGGGCTGAAAACCCCATGACGAGACCAACAACAATTGAACATGCCAACCAGCGATAGCGGTAGTGCTTGTTCTTTACCAATGCTCTGCCATTCTCATCCCAGGTATAAATACATACCTTTGCTTTGTTGTCCACCAGACCCGCGGCAAAGGCAGAAATGTGTGGTGTCAAACGACGCTCAAGACGCTCCAACGCGTGGGCTACTCGCATGTAGCTGTTGTATGCAGCGAAAAGCATAGCTTGCACGACCCAAAAGACACATGGAACAACTACCTCTGCAAGTGACAGATGTCCACCGCTCACGTGTCCCAGAGTCACCTTGGCTGCAACAATCACTACAGCCGTGATATTGCAGCAGATTGCAACAGTTACAAAGTGTAGCGACAAAAAAGGAGGGTCGTGTTCTCGTAGGAGTGAGGCACCACTCACAACGAATTCTCGTTCCATTTCCAGCCTGGCCTTACGGATGGGAGAAAATGGTAGTTGCGGTAATGACAAGAACGGGACAAGAAATATTAAGAAATATTTCACGTAGCGACTAAATGAGAAGATCTCATTGGCTGCGGGTCCAGCACATGCAAATACCGCATATGGAGAGGCTCCCATAGTAAGTAAATTTCTGTTAACAGGTTTATCTTGCATATGCACTTCCACGTTTTTCGTTTGGCGCCGCACCGTTCGTCCCACGAAAGATCCTTCAGTATCACTCGAACTCCCACCTGGGGTTGCTGCAGTTCCGGCAGTGAGTAACGCAGGAGGCACTGCTTTCGTGACAGCGGGGTTTAGTACAAAGTAATCAAGTGCCTCCTTGCTTGGTACCATCGGGTCCCGTTCGAAGGATTGCTGCTCACAAAGATGAACTATTGGCTCCATGATGCGACATCTGTGATACGGGTGGTGCAAGTCCGGCGCCTTCGTCTTAGTTGTGAGGTTTCGCAGCTCAGCATACAATCGACCTGCGATGCTAGTGAATAATTTGGCACGGCTGCCACAACCAAGGTCCTCCTCAGTCTGCTCCACCACAACCCCCTCACACCAGGTGCCACGCATAAGACGCCCATGTTGCATGCACGCTCCAGATCCGTTCGCCACGGATCTCGTGAAGTTACCAGTGAAGAGTGCACCGGAGGGGAGCAGTACCTCTGCGGGCCCTTCTAGGAATCCGCGCTCAAACTTCCCGGAACAGATAGTCCCTGACGGAAAGAGACATATGCCATGTCCCTCCGGCTTGCCGTCAAGCAGTGGGCCTCCGTATAAACTGTCATCGCTGAAGCCAGCGCTGGCCACATTTGGCGCCGGGTTCACGGCGACAGGCGAGTCCCGCGTGACCGGTGTCTGGTCTTCGCTGAAGTTTGTACTCCACGGCTCCCCTGGCATCCCACCAGGCTAAGCAGCTAGGCAGTGTGGTTCACGGAACAGAAAAAAAAAAAAAA